TTGTTGGGCTGCACCTCAGACTGTCCAAGAGCTCAGTGATATCCTGAGATCCTCAGGCATGCATACAAGCAGGTGAGGGCTGTACAAACTGCTGAGTACCATTTTGAATAGCTGGAATGAAGATCGGGAAAATGGACCAGGCTGCCGCATCATTTTTTTCACTTTTTCAGGAGGTGTCTTTGAATAATTTTCATTTCCATCAAACGACTCGGGATGCTTACGTTCCAAACGCATTACCCAGTCCATATCATTTTTTCCTTGGAGGTCTGATCCTTTAACTTTTTTTAAAGAAGTATTTAACCCAATTAACCACAACTCAACCAGCAATAAAAATGTCTGTCCCTTTCTTTTTTTTTGCTAAGTTTTATACTTTTAGCGTTTCCAGTTACTTAATACCCTAAAACACTTTAGCTGCTATCTTAATGCAGTCTTACCATAATAAGTAAGAAACTCTGCAACATGGAGAAACGTCAGAGACACCAAGACATTGAAGATCCAGTTCACTCCAGCTGAACAGGCGTTGCCAGTACTGCGCGCCCAAAGTGGGTAGATCTCAGAGTTCACTGTCCAAGGCATGGGGCCCATACCTGTAACATGTATTGTATGGATTATTTTATCACATTAGACATGTGTCAACAACATATTAGCTGTTGGTTAGCCTTCATGATTAGGATAACACTGATAACATTCAAAGAGGTTGAGTATGAAGAAGCATTTTCCTACATCTTGAAAATTTGTTCTATTTCCATAACTCGTTTCTTAGTGTCACATTACAACGCATTAAAAAGTGATGATTTTGTTTTCGAATTTGCAAATGTTTGAATAGACATGATTTGGTATAAAAGATGGACCCAGACTGTTTGAAAAGTGATGCTAAGGTGGAAGCGCCTTTTATAAGGAAGGAATTTATAAGGCAACTTTTAAATGAGATCATGTGTTTTCAGAAAAGTCATTTTCAGATGGGGCGACTCATCGGTAGATGGTTTATTATTCGAACGACAGGCTGTTCATCACAAGTTTTCAGCCAATAAGACAGCAATGCAACAGTCAGGCCTAGTGCTCCCTCCTCAGCTTTATAATGCCACTTCACTGACTGTCACGCAGTAGCCATATCCATCATTTATACTGTCCAAGTTACCTCACAGTCAAACTAAATTAGGGGAATAGACTCAGCACGTTTAGGTTCAGCTGCGATAAGATGGGGATGGCTATGAACTGAGAAATAATAATTAAAACAACAAAATAAAAACAAATACAAAAAAAACAAGAAGAAATTAATTTTAAACCTGGAGCAAAGAACGCAAGGTAGAGGATGAGGCCAAAAAGAACAATCCAGGAGTAAGACGAAGGACAGTAGTTGTACGCCCAAATTGGATTGTCGCTTGCTTCTGTTCCATTGGAACACCTGGATTAAAAACAAAAATAATAATAATAAAAAACAGAAACCATATTGTACTTCATAAAGCCACCCTACTGTTTTACATTTAGATTTTATTTAATTAAACATAATGTTATCAAATGTTTTACTTACTTTATTTTCATTGCATTTAGATTTTTACTTATTTTGCTTCTTTGATTTACTAAATTTTGGGATTGAATACTTGTTTCATTTTCCTTTTATTGAGCTAATCATCTCAACTTTGGGGGTAAATAACACAGATTAGCTTAAAAGTATTTGAAAAACAATCTATTACAGTGCAGGTCATAGACAGTTATACTTTAATACTTTAAGTACTACTTTTAGTAGTATTTTAAAACTGGACCTTCAAATAATGTTCACAGACACATGAACTGAAGGTCAGGAAAAGACGTGCTCTCACACTCTCAGATACGCAACTCAAGCTTAAAACACACAACACATCACCACACCTATGACATAACACTGGATCCTGTTAATGTGACACAGACAGGAAGCTATAAAACTCCACCCTAACAATTGTCTTACAACAAAGAGGATCATTCAAGTTAATAATGGAGAGTTTTATCTGCATCTGTTCTGTGTTTTGTTAACATTATATATGTAAAAGATGTCTGTTGATGGCATTGCAAGACATCCCTGTGGTTTTTTTTGGTTTTTTACCTTGAAAATGATTGCATTAGTGATTAAGCTGAGATGATATTATGCAGGTTTTCCATGAGTTTGTTAGCACTATTATTTCACTACTTCTTTATGCACTTTTCATATCATCCATATTTCCATCCATCCACTTAGCAGTCATATCCAAGAAAGAAATCACTGGAACATCTTTTCGGACCTTTACATTTTTTGTGAGCTAATGCACCTTCCCTTTATACAAAAACAAAAGACCCCAAATATCTGACCTTCCCCAGGCTGCATGATCCGTGGATGACTGATTGACAGGAACACAGGAAGAGTCGTACACGTTGGTGCCATTTTCAAGGAAACAAAATCCACAATCTGGATCCAGCATGCAGCCTTCACAAGACCTGCAGGACAGAGATGAAGGCAAAAGCTTTCACAAAAGACACCACCAAATCTACTGAGCGGCAGAGATCAGGCCTTTTAAAGATTAAGCAAATACAGCTATTGTTGGAGGTAGGAGGAAGAGTGAGGGGTTAAAAATCACCAGAGATGCATACACGCACTCCAAGAATGAAAGTTAGCGAAATCATTGTCACAACAGTGAAGAAATACCAAGATAAGCATCACCACTGAGCCACAAAATACATAATACAACCAAATGTTGAACGACAACATAGTGTAAACTGACAGGAAGTCGAACTGCCTGCATGCTATGTTGCAATACAAAAACAAATAAAAATTAGTGCAGTGTGATTTTTTTTTTCTTACCCATATGTCCTGCAGGTTGAGTTTTGGGGGTCTAATGGGTGGAGGGTTATAGGAGGAGAGTTCTGGGCAGATAGCAAGAACCCAACTGCCAACAGAGCCAGACTCAGACCAGTTCCTGCATCGGAAACATAATGAGACAAACACACTGAGAAAGACGGCAGGGGTGTCTGCAGAAACAAGCAGTTCATTTTCATATACCTGAATAATATCATTGACCAAATATAATACTATTACCATAAAAACACATTAGTTTTACTTTAGAAGTCAGTCTGGTTGCAAAAGTCCCAGAGATGTTTACATGAAAATGACCCCAGTCCTGCCCACTGTAAACACTTTTGGCCTTGGCTACAGTAAGAACACATTTCTATATTTTTATTTTTGATTTGTGACAAATTTGTGTTAAATTAACTTAACACAAACACCCCCCCCCAAACTAAAAAAAAAAAAGCATCTATCAATCACGTAATCTCTATAATTACAAACCTAAAAGACTGCCCAGGGTCAGCTTCCTGCGACCCACTTTCTCAACAAGCCAGACTCCCAACAAGGTGAACACAAAGTTGGTAGCTGAAGTTGCTGCGGCCAACCATATTGCCTGTTTATCATCACGCACCCCAGCCATCTGCACAATGGTTGCACTGTAGTACCTAGGATACAGCACAGGACAGATTTACAGAAAACACACTTGCTCTGATGTAGCGCTTGAGGTTTTACAGCAATGGTTAGCATTGTCATGCGGTCTGAAACTGAACAAAACAAAAAGTCGGCCTACATGACGGTGTTTATCCCAGACAACTGCTGAAACATCTGGAGCCCACAACCAACGATGAGAGCCCTACGAGTCGGCGAGTGCCTGAGGATACGGAAAATAACAGGCCCACCTAAAAATAACCAGGAAAAAAAAAAAAAGAAAACACACAGTGTGATTAAGCACGCGCACATAACACCTGCTATGTTTCCCTTTTCCTAGACATCGTTTACCTCCATTTAAATCTTTCTCTTCTTCCTCAATGCTGGCTCTGATGGTGTCATACTCCTCATCAATGTTCTGGCCTCCTCTGATCTGGCTGAGAACCTGATGAGCCTCTAGGCTTCGGCCTTTTTGGAGGAGCCAACGGGGGCTCTCGGGCAGAAAAATAAAGCCGAAGAACTGCAGCACAGAAGGAAGGCAGGAAAGGCCCAACATGTACCTAAAGCATGGAGAAGATGCAGCTTCTTGGAATCTGAAAACTCTGGTGCCCTTATTGGCATTCACGGCAAAGATCCAAATAATGGTAAAAAAGGGATAAATCAAATTTAACCAAACTAAACTAAAGCCCTTAGCACAGGTGAGAGAGCATCAAAGCTGCGTACCTCCAGCCGTCTTGTCTCACGTAGCTGAAAGCCCCATCAATCACACTGGCAATGAACTGGCCACCAGTGATAAAGAGGGAATTGATAGTGACCAGCTGACCTCGCAGGTGAGGAGGGGAAACTTCTGCGATGTACACAGGAACAGTCATGGAAGCAATGCCTAAAGGCAAGGAGAGGAACAGTTTCATGCTAATGCACAACAGATGCATTCCCACAGACAATTCATATTACATCCTAACTCTGCCGTATAATTCAGAGCTCTGTGTTTGAATAAGGCAAATATTGAATAATGACAGTCAAACAAAGGGTTCCTTATAAGGAGCAAAATCATAATGGTGACTTTACCTTGATACAAGCTGTAGTGTTAAATAAAAATAACTTACCTATGCCCAAACCAACTGTAATTCTGCCAACAAGGAGGACCACCTTGTCTGGGGCAAGACTCAAGATGATGCCACCGACAGTGAAGATAAAGCTGGCCACAAGGATACAGATCCTGCGGCCCAGCCACCCGTTCAGGTAGCCTCCACTCAGGGCAGAGAGCGCTGCAGCTCCCACAGTACTGGAAACCAGCAGCTCCTGCCACAGAGCATTCAGGTTCATCTCCTTCTTGAGGAGAATCATGGCGCCAGAAACCACTCCAGTGTCATACCCAAAGAGGAATCCCCCCAAGGCAGAGAAAAACGCCAACAAATAGACAAAAAGCGGCTTGGGGGCATCCCGGTCTGGGAGATTCTCATCCACATGCCTAGATGGAGGTCCTATGAGACTCCGCTCTCCATCATCCCCGGCTTTCTGTCTCCTGCTGGCCATGAGGTTGCTCATGTGCTCCAAGCTGTACTCATCATAGCTGCTGGACATAGGAGAAACCAGAGGTTAAGCTAACCAGGGGTTGCAGGTCACCACTTTATTAAATCAGCCAGGTGAGATACTTCTGTGAGGAAGTGGCGGTGACGTGTACATGGATGCAGTCATGTCCCATTAAAGCAGATTACAAATCATAATCATTTTTTGTTGTTGTCGTTTTCCCCTCAACAAAATAATAGCAATATTTTCAGTGCAAGACGTTCAGCTAACCTCTAAGTTAAATTCCAAACCTTGGGTGTGTTTTTAGGTGTCCAGCTCGAAAAAGCAACAGGAAAGAAAGCACCACGTCGTGATTTAGCAGCTATACTAGCTAACTTTGATGACGACATGTCGTGACTAATTCCTGTGGTTAACCGAGCGCCAGATTCTGCTGTGTCGCATATTTCGGAGTCGCGTCGTGGGAAAGCTGCCTAAACAGTGTAGGTTGATGACTTTAAGCTGACTTTAGATGTTTTGTTCACCACTGACAGCGCTACTGCTTTGCTCTGCGTGCAGCCATGTTTGTGCGTGAGGTCACGTGCCCACCCGGCTACAAAAACAATGTTGTTTCTTTTTTTCAAACAGAGAGTTTACGATCTTCCTACAGCACCGTGCCAAACTCCATCCAAAATGTCATTTTTAACGAATTTGTGCTCAGCGGAGACTTTTGTGCACGTAAAACCAGAGTTGACAGCACATGTATTGTCTACTCGAAAATTCGGCAGAGATGTGAGCGAACAATTTTCATTCAGATCACTTTTCCCCATCTATTTTTCATTACTTTCATGAGTATTTCCGAATGTAACTTCTACTTCATTTATTCTTATAATGCTAAAAGTACGGAATGATAAGTGACCCTTATGCCCCTCGTCCCCATAAGTCATCTGTTTGCAGTAAAGTCAAATAAGTCGCATTACTGGACTTTAGCCTGTCAGGTCACCTTAACTATCTGTGAAAAAAAAAACATACCTCTAAAAAAGCTGCTTTCCTCCAGCGCACAGTGCTGCTGTGGATGTGTTCTTCAACAAACAGGAAGTCTGTTATGTGGATCATATGATATTATCCCTGAAAAAAAAAAAGTAAACACGCCCATTTGAACTGTAAAATGTAACCCAACTGGTTCTTTTTATGGTAGTCGTGATTAATGAGCCAACGCAGCAGGAATTTGCACTGGCCACAAAACATGGCAAAGATTTCAACTGTGAGCACTTTTTTATGCGCTATCAGTAAGTTTGGGCAGATTTAGATGGATACGTTTCGCGAAGGTAAATATTAACTGTTGCTTAGCTACTTTCGTTTTTGTTTTCTTATGTATTTTTACCCCCCAAAATATGATTAACATTCTTTTTTTAATCAAACAGACACTTGACAGATAAAGACACGTTTTCCACTGGGCTTTCCTACATATAAATTGTGCAGCGTTGGGTGCTCGTGGCTCAAGAGTTGGGCGTTCGCCTTGTAATCGGAAGGTTGCCGGTTCGAGCCCCGGCTCGGACAGTCTCAGTCATTGTGTCCTTGGGCAAGACACTTCACCTGTTCCCTACTGGTGGTGGTCAGAGGGCCCGGTGGCGCCAGTGTGCCCGGTGTCCTTAGGGACTAGTAAAGCGCTATACAAATACTGGCCAAAAAGCAAAACCCATCTAAACCGTGGTCTAATGTATACTTTAAAACGCACAAAGCATTCTTGTGTCCTAAAATAAAATTTCATGACTACAATCTTTAAACAACAAGTAAACCGGAGTTTTTTTTTCTTTATTTATTTAAGTAGTCTTCAGGAATAGTTCTGAATGATAAAAAAAAAAAACGGCTGAAAAGTGAAGCTATTTAGGCATATCACTGGTGGTTGGGGGGTTGTACCCAATGCTGAATACAGGAAAAATAAGATATGACCACTATGTCAAGCTGATATTCTGTGCTCACCGACTGTCATCCAATCCTCAAATCAGATGGTGCTCTCCTTGCCAGGGAACAGCTGGACCTGAACCACAGCTTCTAGGGACACTGGAAGTACCTACACTATAACATACTTTGTACTTATGCTATACAACTTAAACAACATAGTTTTATCAATGATTTCTTGTTTTAAGCCTCACACTCATTTACTTTCCTCTCTGTGGGAGAAAAGGGTCCATCCAATATCTCAAAAAAAGTGCAAAGGTAGACAGCATAGTATGGTAAACAATATATATTTTATTCTATATATCTATATATTTTTCATAGCTGCTTTTATTATTATATTTTCATGATCAGAAACTAATCCCACAATATCATTTGCATTGGTAAGTTAAACTGCATAAAGAAATTATTATTTACAATGCTGCAGTCTGTTCCATGCAGCTACATTTTCAATAGAATTCACTGGAGAGCAACCTGTTGAAATGATCCCATATCCATCCATCAGTCTACCCATCCATCCATCTTCTTCTCCTTATTTGGGGCCAGGTTGCAGGGGCAGCAGCCTAAGGAGAGAAGCCTTGACCTCCCTCTCACCAGCCTTCTCCTCCAGCTTATCCCAAGGAACACCAAGGCATTCGCAGGCCAGCCACCCTTCAGAGAAAGCTAATTTCTGCCTCTTGTATCTGTGATCTCAATCTTTTGGTCACTACTACCTGGATTTTGGACTACCTCACCGACCGACCACAGTATGTGAGGACTCAGGGTTGTGTGTCGGACAGGGTCGTCTGCAGTACGGGGGCCCCACAGGGAACGGTTCTGGCTCCGTTCCTCTTCACCATCTACACTGCAGACTTCTCCCACAATTCCACCCAGTGCTTCCTGCAGAAGTTCTCTGATGACTCTGCAATAGTCGGCCTCATCACTGATGGGGACGACAGGGAGTACAGAGGACTGACCCAAGACTTTGTGGACTGGTGCCAGCTGAACTACCTCCAGATCAACGCCAGTAAAACCAAGGAACTGGTGGTAGACTTCCGCAGGCACAAGCATTCTCCACTGCAACCACTGAACATCCAAGGTATGGACATTGAGGCTGTGGACAGCTACAGGTACCTTGGTGTTCATCTGAACAATAGACTGGACTGGACTCATAACTCAGACGCCCTCTACAGGAAAGGGCAGAGCAGGCTGTACCTGCTGCGGAGACTCAGGTCATTTGGAGTGGAGGGCCCACTCCTGAAGACCTTCTATGACTCTGTTGTGGCTTCTGCTATCTTTTATGGTGTGGTCTGCTGGGGCGGCAGCATCTCTGCTGGGGACAGGAAGAGACTGAACAGGGTGATCCGAAGGGCCAGCTCTGTTCTTGGATGCCCTCTGGACCCAGTGGAGGTGGTGAGTGACAGGAGAACGGTGGCTAAGCTGTCATCCCTGTTGGACAACATCTCCCACCCCATGCAGCAGACTGTGACAGCACTGAGCAGCTCCTTCAGTGGGAGACTGCGGCACCCACAGTGTGGGACGGAGAGATTTCGCAGGTCTTTCCTCCCCACTGCTGTCAGACTCCATAATAAAGACTTTAACTGATCAAACACACACATCCATACATATGCAATAACACTAAGTGCAATAATCCTTTCTGTCATCGTTGTATTTTTACTCAGTTGCATATAGCATTTGTATTTGTATTCTATTTTTATCTTATTGTATATTTATTTTATTTTATTCCACTGTATATAGTATTTTATTTATTCTATCCTGTACAGTTGTGTACTGTATTTATTCTTATTGTATCCTAATTTTTGCCTCATAACTTTTGCACTGTCCACTTCCTGCTGTGACAAAACAAATTTCCCACGTGTGGGACTAATAAAGGTTATCTTATCTTATCTTACCCAAAGCTCAGGACCATAGGTGAGGGTAAGGACGTAGCTCAACCAGCTAAATCAAGAACTTTGCTTTTACACTCAGCAGCAACCGCATCATTGTAGCCACAGCATAAATCTGTCTGTTTATCTTCCACACCCAGCAGTCATCAACAAGACTCTGAGCTGCTTAAACTCCTCCACTTGGGACCGTAACTCATCCCTGACCCGGAGTGGGCACAACATCCTTTTCCAGCTGAGGACCATGGCCTCAGACTTGGAGCCGATTCTCATTCCTGCCACTTTACACTCAGCTGCGAACTGCTACAGTGCGAGCTGGAGGTCGCCGCCTTACTATACCTTTAGGCGCCCCAAGTCTGTCCAGCATCCTCCCCCGCCACATGACTTGGATCAGGTGATCAATTGAGAGCTCAGCACCTCTCTTCACACAAGTATCCAGAACATATGGCCGCAGATCTGATGATACAAAATTGATCATCGACCTGCAGCCTAGGGTCTCTTATTGCCATGTGCAATTATAGACGCCCTTTTGTTTGAACATGGTGTTTGTTATGGACAATTTGTGGTTTGCACAGAAGTCTAGTAATAGAACATTGCTTTGGTTCACATCTGGCAGGCTGTTCCTCCCAATCACGCGCCTGCGGGTCTCACTGTTGTTGCTCACATGAGCGTTGAAGTCTCCCAGTAAGACGACAGCATCCTCAGGCACACCACCTAGAGGCTCCAAGAAGGCCAGGTACTCTGAACCATCGTTTGGTGCACAGGCGCAGACGACAGCCAGGACCCATTCTCCAATTCAAAGGTGCAGGGAACAAACCCAGGAAAAACTCCAACTTACAGGCAGCAAGCCAAGCGGATGCTAAAATATTCTGACCAAACTGTTTCCAATTTTGCACATTAGGTACAAAGCAACACTGAGAAAGCTTTTACTTTGGAAGCCAAATCATATTGCAAAAAAACAGCAATACAGTGTAACTCTAACAGATACGTGCATTGATACAAATATTGAAAGTACTGATCCCAGCATTGATATTGCTCCTGTTTCATGAAAAAGCAGCCAGCCACCCTTTGCTCCACCCTCACCTCCTCCTCCCTGTGGTTTGTTGCTGTGGAGTCACATGACTTAGGTGCACCTGGTGTCCAGATATTTATAGCTGTAAATGAAAACACTGCAAACAGCAATGCCTGTAGGAATTTCTCTACTATGACTTTATTGAGTCACAACTAGACAACAGTGGCAGTACAGATTAAAAGTGCACAGTTTTACTGTTGTTTACGTTCAGTGATGCCATCTAGTATTGTTAATTCTATGTGAGGCTGCTGCTGTGGTGGGATTTTTGAGTTGAGGGGGCATTCCACAAAATATTTCTGACCGGGAGCTCGGAACTTCCGACTTATTCAGGAACACAGCATTAGAAAAACAAAATATCGATCATATTACCTATCATCGATTCAATACCAATACAAGCTTTGGTATCGATCCGCCACTTCTAGTATACAGGGGTGATTACTTTGGGAGGACACCTAATTTAGAGATTAACTGAAATAATTTAAAAACTATTTTAGAGTTTGCTTTAGTGTGGGAATTTTCCTCCATCATACACAGCAAATGTCAGTACCAGGTCAAGCTGCATTGTTGTAAATCTGTAAATCAGCAACTGGCATTAGACGCAGAGTGGGAGGGCTAACTCAAGCCACTCGTTAGCCTGTAAAAGTGTAGCTTGAAGTAAACAACAAAACAACAAAAAACCCGTTGGGGGGTAACGTAAGTGCCGTTGACTTGGCTCTCTGTCTGACTCGCTTCCGCTGTCAGAGAGAAAGTCGGATTCTCTCTGACTCTATTTTCAGCTTCCTCTTCTGTAAGCGGGGAGTTTTTACTGCCTGCAGTCATATGATGCGATCGTAGGAAAGCAGGAACACGCCTTTCAGAGAGGACTCGCTTCGTTTTCACATCCAAGCAACATAAAGTCACCGACTCCGCAAAGAGGAACTTATTCTCTGCCACAGGAAAGTTAGCCGAGGACTGTGATGTCGGAACCGAAACTCCGCGACACTGACCGCTTCCCTTGTAGCAACAGCCACTTATAGCTTTCTGTAGCTACTGTATTATTATGCAACACAGCAATTCAGTAATGATTTGTAAAGACATGAGTAACTACAGTGGATTTTCAGTGAGTTATTTATACGCTAACGCTGCGCTCAGTGTGGCCGCTCGAAGGCCGTTGTCGGTTCAGAGAGAGCGCAGTGATTGATTTCAATGCAC